TAGTCAACAGCACAGAGAGGTGAGGTGGAAGAGAGACAGATGGCCACAAGTTGTAGTTCAGTTTTCATTTTGACTTTTGCTCTTCTGCACTGTCTTTAGGGCACATGATTCTAGCAGAGCCCTCATGCCTCCTCCCTGGGCCCTTTTCATTTAGTGAGACATAAGCAACTTTCCTTTATGGAAAAAAGAAAAGTCGTTAGCTGACTTCAACTCCCTCCACCCTTGTTCATTTTCCATTGTCTCCTTCACTAGGGGTTTGGGGCAGGGGTGTGAGGGGTGAAGAGTGTGAAATTGGAGCCTCCTGTGTTTTCCCTTTTCTGTGCTGACTTTCTCTTTGGTGGCGTGTCTTTTAATCAGTGTATGGTGCTTTCATATGGTGCTCAGTTCAAGGCCCTCATGCTTGGGTCCCCTTCTCAGATTGTTCACTCACACTGAAGTAATGGATGACTGCTAGTAGATTGAAATGTTACCCCACCCAAGGGTATCTTTCACTTAAACAAGAGTCAAGGTGTAAGGTTCCAATGGTGGCAGTTCAGATACAGTCTGAAGAAAGAAGCTGAAGAGTGGATAGAAAAATGATTTAAAAGTACAATAAAGGGGGGCCGGCGGTTGAGTGCTGGCGCTTCGCTGCTGGCGGCCTGGGTTCGGATCCCGGGCGTGCACCGATGCGCCGCTTGCCATGCTGAGGCTGTGTCCCACATACAGCAACTAGAAGGATGTGCAGCCATGACATACAACTATCTACTGGGGCTTTGGGGGAAAAAAATTAAACAAAAAAAAAGTACAATAAAGGGGGCCTTCTTTTGCTCATTTTGCTATTTGAGAGTGAACAGGGAGCGGAAATTGGGATGATTAAATTATGGAAGCCCAAATTATTTTTATTCCTAAAAAATGTAACCTGAATATGTAGCATATCCTAATCCCCTGCTTCCTCCTCCTTCAATTCCTGCCCTGTCTCCCTACACATATATACACCTAGAAGGAAGGAAATATACCAAATCCTGATAAATTGCATTAGTGGTGGTATTTTTTTCCTTGCGGCACTACCTAATACTCTTTTTTTTTTTTAGTTTCTTAAAGTAATGTGTAACCTTGTAAAAATTCTTTAAGCTCTTGTTATCTTAAATAAACATTCTAAGATGACAAAGTCGCAAGCTAAGGAAACGGAGCCATCACTTACATGATTTCTCCACAATGCTATTTAATTTGTCCTGGGATTCAAATGAGACAATGTATGGGACTGTGTTTTCTAAAATGTAAAACTCTATAAAAACAATCTTTTAATATTATAAATTTCAAAATGGGAACTAGGATAGTAAAAGAAATAGCAACATTCTAAAATACCAGAAAGTATGTTTCCTAACGAGTTTCTAAGTGCTAGTGTTTCCTACCCCTAAAAATGTGAAAATAAGTTTCCAATAAGAGAATTGAGAGTAAAGACAGGCATTACCTCAAAGGATGAAATACACCTGATATGCTTTACACTCATTTTAGTTTTCCCAACTTAATGATTTGTGAGAAAATGGTGACAAGGAAAATCTTATTAGAATCAGTACCTTTTAAACCCTTCTTGCAAACGAAGAAAATTATGAAGTCAAAATGTGATTCCCACCCCAGCTGTGCAATCATCCCAAGTTTTCTTCAATTATTTATTCACATAGTCATTCATTCGGAAAATACTGACTGACCTTGCTAAGTGCTAGGCACCATTTCAGAATCCCAGTAACCAAAGATGAACTCAAGTTTTTGGTTCTCAAAGACCTAACTAGCAGTCCAGATGGTTAGTTAACATGGTTGGTTTTACCATGTGGTAAGTGATAACAGGAGTTTGCACAAGATTTTATATGAAGATAGTGAAAGCCTTGTATACATTGCTCAAGAAGCTGGATTTTTATTCTAAGGACAATCACACACAAGCTATAGTTTTACTATTGCTTACATACATGGGAGTCTTGATGGGATCACTTTTTTTTGAAGGGGAAGATGGACTGGAGAAGATCACAGTGAAGGCTGGGAGTGAGGCCAGTTAGGAGGCTGTGGCAACCAACCAGGCAAAAGATGAGGATGGTGATGATTATGGTGGTATAGTAGTGATTCTGGTAGAAAAACCTTCAACTAAAATACATTTTAATTAATTTAAAATATAGAGTAACATACTATTTTTGGAGAAAATGTCACAATAATAAACATTCAGAATTGTTAGAAATTTGGAATCCTTGTCATGAAGAATCAAAGCCACATACACAGTCTCACAATCAACCGAGTAGTGAAAAGCGAATGCATTAATTATTGTATTTATAGCACATCAGCCCTCCAATTGATAGAAAATTCATGACTTTTAAAAATTCCTGGTCAAACAGCTAGACTGGTTTGCGTATACATAGCCAAGTCTTTATCCTACTGAAGTCACAGAAAAAAATGAGATGGGAAGCTCCTGAGAGATCCTTTAGTCTAATCCTTTCATTAAAGATAAAAACTGAGGGGCTGGCCCCGTGGCTTAGCAGTTAAGTGCACGTGCTCCACTGCTGGCGGCCGGGTTTGATCCCGGGCGCGCACCGACACACTGCTTCTCCGGCCATGCTGAGGCGGCGTCCCACATACAGCAACTAGAAGGATGTGCAGCTATGACATACAACTATCTACTGGGGATTTGGGGGAAAATAAATAAATAAATAAAATTATTAAAAAAAAAAAAAAAGATAAAAACTGAGACCCTGAGACGAAACTATTTGTAGGAGGTGACACACCTCAGTCATGGCAGTGCTGAGACTGGAATCCAGACGCTTGACCTGGAGGGCAGGGCTCTTTTCACTACCATCCAACAGCTTCTCAAGAAAGGCATCTAAATAAATTAACGAGATGTGGATGACTATTCAAAAATGGAAATTTTTAAGTTCTTTGAAACTATAAAGAACATTTTAAAAAGCCAAACACCTGCTTTATTATTAGAGGTTGGTCATTTTTCAAGATAACTGACAACAAGGAAATGTATGCCAATATCAGCAACTACTCTTCACATACTTACTTTCCAAAAATAATTTTGAACTCTAGTCTGGCTTCATGGTACCCATATCCAAGTACATGTGATTTATATTGTTTCACTTTCTTATTAAAAAAATTGAAAACAGAAATACCACTTTATTTAGGATTAGCAAGAGACTTTATATCATGAAGATGATGAAGTATGGTGGGTTTGCGAACAAGCTATTCTGTACTATTCATCAAATGATAGAAAAATTTATAGGGAACCTCTTTAAGTGCTGGGAAAACAAAGAATTAAATTACCAATCTCATCATTTTTCACGAAAACGCTCCTGAATAAGCAATAACATATATTTTCATTTATTATGAGTTTTTAATAAAGTAAAACTTAAAGAGGTTCTTTATTGATCAGATTGATATCTAACGTAATAAAAGCAATGAACACAGTTTATGGGTTTTTAGAAAGTTTATTACAGATACTGGGAAAGTCTCATCATCTACCTCACCCCCATCCCCAACTAAAAGAACCAACATGTTTGCACATGAAACCTAGATCCACCTGGTACAAAAATTCGGTCTTCTAAATAAAATGGTTAATGGCAAATCTCAATAAAAATTCATTTTGAAAATAATCAATGCTATTCAGAAATAAGGAAATCATATGTATCACTTGTTAAAAGTTAACAGGTTTTGTTATATGACTGTGTGCATATATTTTGGCTTTAAAACTTGCCAATATCTATTTGAAAAGATAGAAGCTCATGATTTATTTAAATAGGTATTTTATTAATCAAATACTTTTGGCCAACCAACATATCCAAATACATTTTAAAAACACTTTAAATACAAGGTATAAGTATAAAGTCATGAGACTGATTGACCTTTTTAACTAACATAAAATCTATACAGTCAAATGAGTGGTAGTGCTCTCTGGTAGTAATCCTGAGTCTTTTCTAAGGATGCTACAACGGCCTAAGGCAGTTTTGAAAAGTCTCTTTTGTAGCTACCTTCAAAAGGAAATGAGTTTCATAATTTAATCATTAGTTTGCTTTAGTCCCCAATAGCATTCCAGTTCTATCATCCTTTATATTCACCTATCCTGGCAATTTGGATAAATAAGATTTGTCATCTATGAAGATATTCAAAGGAATGTTAATTCAGGTTCTGATAGTAATTCTGAAATTTGAGCATTTACACACTTTTTTTTTTTTTTTGTGAGGAAGATCAGCCCTGAGCTAACATCCATGCTAATCCACCTCTTTTTGCTGAGGAAGACCGGCTCTGAGCTAACATCTATTGCCAATCCTCCTCCTTTTTTTCCCCCAAAGCCCCAGTAGATAGTTGTATGTCATAGCTGCACATCCTTCTAGTTGCTGCATGTGGGACGCGGCCTCAGCATGGCCAGAGAAGCGGTGCGTTGCTGCGCACCAGGGATCCGAACCCGGGGCCGCCAGTAGCAGAGTGCACGCACTTAACCGTTAAGCCACGGGGCCAGCCTGCATTTACACACTTTTAAGATGTGTAAATTAAAGTAACCACTTATATCACAGATATCTTTTGTACATGCCTATCATTTTGGAATAGAGATTTTTTTAAAAAACAGTGACTCATAACATTGAAATAGGACTCTACAGGTCAAAAATGATAAGAATAATTTTACACTGTGTAACAAAACCTGTATTAGACAACTCAGTAGCAGGGACTCAACAAGTTGACAACTCTCCTATAAGTTTCTCTCCATGAATCACTGTAGTTGAAATCATATTTAAGTGTCAGAAATAGCCTTGATTATAAAATGTTATTAAATAGCACCAGTATTACTTGAAGGTAAAGTGAAACACTAATAGGATTGCAGAATATAGGTTTCATTTCTAACTACAAGAGAGAAAGAACTACAATTAAATTTGGCTTATTTTAAGATCACAGCCAGATAAACATCAGCCATAAAACATTTCAGGATTTTGCTTGAAAAAGGTAGAAAGAAAAGCCTTGTATATCATTCTTTTACATTCTATTCCCAAAATAGATATATATGCTTACATAATCAAGACAGTGCAATCTCACCAATGAAGTTCTTCACGGCAGATATATTTTCTCATTCTATATATTAGTTTGACAAGATAACAAATATAATAAAAGTGCTTGAAAGCAATCTGATTAGAGCAACATTTACATTAAGTACAAAATATACAGTAAAATGAAACATCTCATTAAATAGGCTTGTAGGTTAACAATACCTTATTTAAAGGAATACATTTTCATGAATCTATTTTCACATTTGTTTTGTATACTTGATAGCCCCTATCACCACTGTATGCTTGTGTTACTGCAATTTCTAGGATATCCGTATATCTTATCTCTAAGTGTTCCCATGACTTTATCCGTAAAGGTAATTTTAAAAGTATTACTTCCAGAGGAAAAAAAAATAAGAAATCCCATATTTTTATGAGCAGTTGTGCACAAAACTGTTGTAGCATTTGAGAGAAATGTCCCTTGATCCTTATAAATTCATCATTATAATAGGCATACTTTTGTACTAAAGCAAAATAAAGTGTTGCCTTTAAAATTAAGTGTTGCCAACCTACTGTACAATTCCGGTTATAAAGTTAGATATGAAATACTTGGCTATTAATTAGAAAAGCATTATTTGAAAAGATCTGCCAATAAACATTTCTAAGTGTGATTGCCAATCTTAATAGTTTTCTTAATTAGAACAGTTGGGGAATGAACAGAACAGTAGTGCTTTTATGTTATAACAACAAAGAAGTATTACAGTATCTAAATCTCCAGACCTGGGGTCCAAGTGTTCAGTCGTGGCTCAGTTGTAAGCTGACAGAAGAGAAGATGCGTCCCACGCTTGTACACAATGGGGCAATGACAACATCTGTCACACTCTTCCATATTGTCTGCACTGAAGGCAGGACCATCAGGCAGGTCTTTACAAAAGGCATTATAATCCTAGAATGGAGGAAGAGAGATGTGTGTGGATTATTAGTGTTACCAAATAAGGCCACTGACTCTCACACATGCATGAAAAGATATAATAATGGCCTAATTCACCTAAATTTGGTTGAACATTTGAAACAAACAAATGAACAGTGATCCACATAGTGGTAAGATGCAGAGAAGGTGTTGCTTAAAAAAATAAACACACAGGTAGATGATAAACACTAATACTCTTTCTATTGGTGGCATGCTATCTGAAAAAGTAAACCAAAAAATAAACCAAACGGTAAATTTATCTACTTGATCTCTGCCCCTAAATATTAACCTGCTTAACTCTCCATATTTCCCCGAGCTTCTACTCCCTGGTAGCTTTTCCTATCACCTCATTCCACTTTCCTCCCCACTGGACCAGGCTGGGCTGGATACTCCTTTTTTGTGCTTCTAAAGTACTAAAGCAAACTTCTTAATCCTCAAATTTACCAAAAGGTATCACAAAGAGATGCTTATATTTCTGTCTTCCCTATTAGAATGTAAGCTTGTTAAATGAGGACATCCTTGATCCTTAGTAAGTGTTTGAGCTGAAGTGAATTTGGCATTCTGTTATGCTTTATGTTATTAATTTTTCATAGTAATTACATACACTGAAAAGGGCTGTGTGGTATAGTTAAAAGAGCCCTGCAATTATGTCAGAACTCTTAGACAAGAAAAACTAGACTATTCTGAAATTATTTTTTCTGTATGTATTTTCTGTATGAAATTATTTTTCTTAAGATAACTGCATATCCTCATATTACTCAGGCTGGTTAATTTTCTATGTAATCCTCTGAATAATGTTGTCTGTTGTAGTAGTCCCCTTTGAGCACAAAACTATTTGTGAATTCTCAGGCATTGCTGGTGGCCTTAATGGAATTTTTATTATTACCTGGGTGGGCACAAGGAAGTAAGCTTGATTTTCTTGGTTTGCTATTAAAATGTGACTTAAATAAAGGTCTGTTATACTTAGCCCAAAGTGAAGGGAAGATCAGGCAACTGTCTGATTGATTGAGCTATTTTTAGGATACTGAATTATTCATATTGACTGTCTACACAAATTATATTTATCTTGTGTTTTGTTCCAAGTGCTAAAGACTGGAAGCAATTTTTTAAGAAAATTAATTACTAGGTGTTTCAGAGCTAAATAGTTGAATAGAAACCTGAATGATGACAATTTTCGACTTCTTATCCCATTATGTTTCTCACTTGATATGTGGCCTTGGGCAAATCACTACAAATTAAAATAAGAATGGGAAATTGTACAGACTAGCTAGCAGGATTAATACTTATCATGCACCATTGAACTGTCCTATGATGCCGTCATTATAATGAATAATAAATAGAACTATTTTGAAGTCAGAATATATAATGATAACAATCATAACAATCTCAAATTGACATACTACAAGACTGAAGTTTAGATCAGAAAGCTTCCTAACCAAATCTGCTTCACTCAGAATATAATGCACTTTCCACTCTTCCTTAGGCTAAGAAATTTTCTATTCCCATAACTCCTTAGATTTCCATGTCCTAAGAGAGAAGTAAGCACAGAACAAAAGTGCATTTTCCAGTTCAGCATAGTGTGGTTGACCACATTTGAGAACTTCAGTTCATAGTATGTGATGAACTCTTTAATTTTATTTTCTTTAAGTTGTTCTCTACTTTATTCTCTCACAGATTTTCCAATTATCCTCTGACATCAAATTTAAATTGTGTTCTCAACATCCCAAATAGTTTCCCTTCTGAAACTCCAGGCAATTTAGAGTGACCTAAAACTTGGTTGAGGCCCAGTGTGGCCAACCAAACACTTCTTAAATAAATCTTATAATTTATAAGATTACATATTCCTCCATTGGATAATAAAGCCCTAAGGACATAGGTTTTTATTTGTATCAACTATAGTGTCATGTAGATTGCACTGTCATAGCAATTTGCTGTATTAAAAGCATCTTCTAGAAAAGAGATTGCTACTACTGCGTTTCTATCAGTTGGACCATCTATTTGAATTGCATCCCAGGAGAAATAAGGGGTAAGGGAACTCCAGCCACATTTCTTTGGTATGATCCACTTATTCCCAATAATCTGCAGTTGCCAAACGGCGGCTATCTCAATCTGACGGGTATGGAATCAAACCAATTCACTGGTTCCTAATACCCTGTACTTCTAGCCTAGGATTCAACATCATCAGACTGAGTTCTGGGTTTTTGTTGTTGTTATTTGTTTACAGAATCTAAAATCAGATCCGTTGTGATGATGCAATGTGGTTCAAAGATCTATTATTGCGTATTTTCATAGCTTTGGTCACCAACTTCTTGGTAAAACAATAAACACCCCCAACCCCTGCCAAAAAAAGAAAGAAAGAAGGAAGCTTACTCAAATGTCTTTGTTCTTCTATAAGGCCTCTCCTTAATCTGGTCTTATCGTGTCATGGGAATGTAATCTATTAACGATAAATCTCTTTTATCAAGGTATAAACTAACTTTTAAGCATTTTTTTTGAAGTTACTCTTCTACTTGAAATCATAGCTGCCTGATGACAAATATATAATGGTTAAATATTAATGTCTCACATGAATGTAATTTGAAAAACAAGCCCAAGTTAAATAATACATTTTATGTGGCTAAAAAAGAAGTGGTTTGATGATTCACCATTGGAAGCACTACACAAAAAAAAAGCCTCCAATTCTTAGGAAAGCCAGGTGGAGAGAAGCATCATTTGGTTAATTGTAGTTTTACTTATATCTTTCCACCATTTAGTAAATGACACCCTTTTTGTTTTCAATTCTTCCACAAGTGCTTTAGGAAAGCCTAGCTTTGTTGACTATAAATATGGCACTCTATATTTCCAAATAGCTTCACAGCCAACATTTCACAACATGCTATGTGGTCACTCTGTTTTTCACACTTGAAAGTGAGAAAACTGCCATAGAGGTTAGATGACTGGTTTTAGTTAATGAGGAATCCAAAATTTTATGTATTGACTTAGGCATCTTTTAAAAAATCCATGTGCTAATGTCAGAATATGAGCTAACTATACATCTGGCCTTTGTGGGTCTGCTCATGTATCAAGAAAAAGATTTTCATTCTTCTGGCAGTCTTTTGGCACTTTCAACATAGTTTAGTTGTTTACAATCTTTAGTGATCAAATTAAATCGATGTTCATTGTTTATCCTTTACTTATTTGGTGAATTTTTATGTATCCTTTAAAAGCATCTTTAGATTCTTTTCTCTCTGCAAAGCGTTCCCTGTGCCTCCTTGCTCCCCGACAGATTTAACTGAGTTTTCCTCAGCATCCAGCTCTATACCTAGCCCTCAGCATCCAGCTCTGTACCTAGCCAGCTGCCCTGATGTGTTGTAAGTAGTAAGCTAAAGGCAGACCCTACATCTTATTCTTCCTGGGTGCATGCCCAGCACAAACTAAGCACTCAATCAAGTTTCTTAGTTGAACTAGCTAGCTGGCTAACTGCCTAAGAAATTGATTCAGATGGTAAAGGGGATGGAGAATAATCTCATAACTTCTAACAATGAGCACAGCATGTGTCAGGGTGGGGCAATACCATATAAAGTGATTAAGAAAGACATGGAGGCATCTGGGGTTATACATTTTATCAGGACTGCCCTAAAACACAAGCTCGGCAACTATTTCGATACTGGGGATGATCTGAATGTTCTTCCTCTCAGAATAAAGTGGATATCTTTTAAAAAAAAAAAAAAACTTCTTGGTAAAATATAACATTTTCCTTTAAATTTTTTTTAATGCTTAGAAATGTTCTCCAAAGCTTTATGATGCATTTTGAGTGTGAATAAAGTTAGTGAAAACATCCTATCAATGTCCAGTAGGGTTCTACATTTATTTTCTCTTTAACTAGATGCCACTCTCATTCATATCTTATAGGTGAAAAAGTAATTTGGAGTCCTTCTCATTGCATTATCCTGCAGTTGAGTTTTCATTCATTTGTGCTGGGAGCCCCTCACTTGAATTGCACACACCTCCCATCTCCACTGGTCTCATCTTTGCCATTTGCCAGTGGCAGGACTGGAGCAGCCCCTCGATAGCACTGCTTAACCTGGTCTGACTATCCAACAATATCTCAGAGATAATTTTTGTTTTACCCCAAGCACAGGTGGTGACTGAAGAAAAGGTGATGAAAGAAATAAGAGCCCTGCCCACAACCAGAGGCACAAGTCATAACATGGCCCTACAAGACAGCAGGAAGAATGGCCTCCAGGTCTCCACCTCCACAGTCAGCTGGGCCTCAGCATCTGAAGGAAAATCACACTGGAGGACAGAGGGACCTTCCTTCTTCTGTTTAAACTCCTAACCTAACCTACGATTCTAAAGAAAGCACACCGCTTTTCAAGGCCTCCAGGTTCTTGCTACTGCCTCGGGAGCTAATGGGCATTCTTCCCCCAGCAAGCCGGTCTGGAAGAGGGGAGGGCAGAGGCAGGTGGCAAAGAACATTACTACCTTTCAGAAAGTGGGTCCACCCCAGTGTACCCCTTCTCACCAGATGTGCAGACAGCTGAGGGTGGCAAAGAGAATTCCCGCAACGAAGGCCAGGGGGATAGCAAGGAACACCGTCAGGAACTTGTAGATCACGTATTTGCTGATTTCAAAGAGGGCATGACTGCAGATCCACACTTTGTCAAAGGAGTGCGTAGACACCGGCTCTGCGATCACATCCTCGAAGCCCACCTGCGGAGACAAGACTCAGGGATCCCGAACTGTTGCCCAATCTGCCGCCCGGGAAGCAGGAGCGCTCGAGGTGGGAGAAGCAGGAAGGAAGGACTTGGCTGGGGTGCCCCACCTTCTCTTAGGGTCACCGTGGGCGCACAGGAATTTGGCTAAGAATCCCTGGCTACGCAGGCGGCCCCGCGGCGGGTGGATTCCGGCTCCCGAACCCCGCGGGGTTGACCTAGTGGCGACGGTGGAGGCTGGGGTCAGCGCGGGGGTAGCGGGGCACCCGCACCCCCAGGCCATGGCGGGGGCTTGGGCCAGCCTCAGGCCCAGGTTACGGCCCGCCCCGGGCTTCACCTTGAGATGCGAGTTGAGCCGGTGGGGATCCCGGTCGAGGCCCGAGTCCGCAAACTTCTCGGGGTCGGCGTAGTCGACGCCGCTATGGCGGCTGTAGGATTCGTCGTCCAGGAAGAGCTGGACGTCCGCCTTCTCGGTCTCCAGCCCCATCGCGGCGCTCGATGCGCGGCGGCTGCAGGCCGGCTGGCGCGGCGCGGCTCCGGGTTCGCGCGGCCTCCCCTTC